TTTCATTTCATCAGACATGAGGACAAAGTGCCTCGCAAGTGTCCTACGAGATGGTGGATAAAAATGGGGGCAAACAACACTACAGAAAAACCTAAACCCTCTCCCTTCAACATGGCTAAACGGCAACTCGTCTAAGACAACCGTTTATACCAATGCCTTTATGCAATCCTCTTTCGTATTCCCCCTAGCCATAAGAGTACCAACACCATCATTAAAAGACAAAATATTTTGCCTTTTATCCTGATTTATTCCCGGGTAACTCTTACATCTTCCTCCCTCAATATGTTTTGTAACAGTTGAAGTACCATTTCCAGAAGGGTTAGCAGCAAAGGTAGTAGAACAATGCTTACACCTAGCTCTCCTTCTAATAATTGTTTCTTTGGTCCCATCTGGCTTCACAATGTTTTCTATGTCATCATATTCAACAAAATGCTCCCACACTTTTGCCCTGCGCCTATTGTTCACAAGAGGAGGCAATGAAGGAATACCACTCGGTTGAGTTGGTGATTGTGCTTGGGGTGGAGCTGGTGGTTCAGGTTGTGGTGGAGTTGGTGGTTGGGATTGAGTTTGAGTTGGTGGTGATGGTGTTGGATCCGGTAATGACGAAGGTGATGATGAAGAAATAGATGACATACCTTCAGTTCTCTCCATCCGTTGCGCTTGATAATCTAACCCGTTGGTCGGCACAAGGTTTCCAAGAAACAGAAGGAACTAATGGCTCCAGCCACAAATCTTTAAGCTCAGGTTTATTTTTCTGCCCCTGCATCATTCAATATATAGGCCAAAAAAGACACATCGAGTGATTAGAACAAGATCTCATCAATTAACTACACTCATATTCCAAGAGGAGGCAGAGAAGACAATACCTTTGCAAAGCAATTGAGGAATAATTACTCTAAACAGGAAGGTTGCTGAATAAATTGTCATCTTCAAGCTCCTGAATAAATTGTTTGTACGACATCAACCCTTCTCTGAAAAGTTATTCAGTATGTCACATTACTCGGTGAAAATAATATATCCCCAACCCAAAGATACCAATTAAATTAACAGAATCAATAAACAGTCAAGCTTATTAGGAGGTTTATTTAAGTTGAATGCCAAGAAGGAGCATAGTATAGTAGATTTAAAAACAAATCAAATTAAACCAAATAAAAACCAAAAATCATTCTCCAATACTCATTTTATTTCACTAGAAAAACCATGGAAAAGAGAGATAACACCTATTTGTAACCACTTATAAAGTGAAAATTATGACATTCTCATAGCCTTGCATCAGTTCATCCTTGAATTTAAACAAGACATTTCAATAATATAGATCATGCAAGTATTAAGCTACAGTCACTAGGCAGTATATTGTACAGACTAATCTTCAACAAGCATAACCTTATTCGTAGGTTTCAACAATCTTCCAGTTAAAAATTAGAATGCTAGTAATCTAGCCTACACAACCTTAATTAAAGATTTGCAAAAACAAAAAAACAAAAACTACTACAAAAGAAAAGGAGAAAAGCCACATAAAGTATTGTCATGTATTATGATGCGGAATCCCAGTCTGAGAATAAGGAAAAAGACCAAAATTTTCTAATTAAAAATATTAAAATTTCTAAGACCAAAATTTGTAAACATTAAGTGGTTCCCAACAACATAAACCATGCCCAGGCTTCCTTATATCAGACTCTTGTACCATTGAATTAGCTTAAACTGCATACTTCCTTTTATCTATGTCAAAAGATTTTAACAATGCTTTTAGATCATATAGCAATGGAAGTTTGATCAGCTTCACACTTCCAGTGGAACTCAACTCAACCATATTCCTAATCTCAAATATGAGAATAGATAGAGAAAATACCAAGGAATTGTCTGAGCTGTCGCGGAGGACGGATCGACGGAGGATGAAGTGTCTGTGTCTGAGCTGTCGCGAAGGAGGGATGATGAAGGCCGTCGCAGTTGAGGTTGTGGGCTGAATCGCTGATATTTTGGATGAGAGGTCTATGTGAAATGGGATAGGGGAATCAAGAAATGGGTGTGAGTGTGTGAGGCCTTGTGTGTGAGGCCGTGAGGAGGTCAGTGACTTAGTGAGAGTGAAACCTAATTGGGATGAAATCCAATGCTTTGCAATTTGGTGAAACCAATTTTCTAACCTATCATACCATGACATGTGTGTGTATATATAATTAAATTATTTATTATTAATAAAACGGTTCGGTTTCGGCCGGTTCATGGTCATTCGAAACCGGAACCGGAACCGATTTGAACGGTCCGGTTCGGTTTTTGGCTCAAAGTTGACTTTTCCGGTCAACATGGTTTTTTCGGCTTTTTTTCATACGGTTCGATGCGGTTTGGCGGTTTTTATGCCCACCCCTAAATACTGCACATTGTTAAAAATTGAACTTCCTTTACAAAAACAGAGAGCAATGAACTTCCCATATCTTTCTATCCGCAGATGGCACTACAAACTGAATCCACCCATAAATATTATTAGATATCACAAATCCCTTCCATCAAGATCACCGAATCAAGTGATCCAAGTCTTTGAAATTTTATTCAACGGCCCACCTGTTTTGATCCCTTAAAAGTTATAATAATTTTTTACCGTTGAATGAAATTTTAAATGCCCGGATCACTTGATCCGGTGGCCTTGATGGAAGAGATTCGGAGAGGATCTCTTTCCATTTTAGAGGGTGTTGAGCTGACATGGCATAGCTTCCTGGCTAGAGAGTAGGTGCTTTTTCTATGCATCCAAGTTTTAATTCTTCTTTCACAATTTTTTTTATACAACAATATAATTACATTAAAAGAGTGAGAATGAATTGGTTTTAAACTTGTCATTTTTTTTAGTTGAATGATAGATTTTATTTCATTTATGGTTACCACCAACCTTTGAGATGTAAGCTGCTACTTGATGTGCTGCATAGTTGTTCACCCTATGGGTAAAACCAAACACAACAGACTCAATAGAACTAGCAAGGGACCATATATCATAAATAAGCCCTTCCATTGCCGCATCAACTTCAATTTCTCGATTAATCATTCGTACATAATTAAGACCTCTTACTTACAAAATAAAAAAAATATCACTAAACCATAGTACTAAATGGTTTTAAGATACAATAATAATAAGGATTTTTGTGACATCCCATATCGCTCAGGGGAGTAGATCCTGTAAGCCTTATATGTATATTCTCATCTCTACCTAGTATAAGGCTTTTTTAGAGTTCACTGGCTTCGGGTTCCATTGGAACTCCGAAGTTAAGCGAGTTCGCGCGAGAGCAATCCCAAGATGGGTGACCCACTGGGAAGTTCTCGTGTGAGTTCCCAGAAACAAAACCGTAAGGGCGTGGTCGGGGCCTAAAGCGGACAATATCGTGCTACGGTGGAGTTGAGCCTGGGATGTGGTGGGGGCCGGGGCCTGGATGTGACAATTTGGTATCAAAGCCAATCCCTAGCCGGATGTGTGTCGACGAAGACATCGAGCCTCTAAGGTGGGTGGATTGTAACATCCCAAATCACCCATGGGAGTGGATCCTGTAAGCCTTATATGTATATTCTCATCTCTACCTAGCACAAAGCCTTTTGGGAGCTCACTGGCTTCAGGTTCATCGGAACTCCGAAGTTAAGCGAGTTTGTGCGAGAGCAATCCCATGATGGGTGACCCACTGGAAAGTTCTCGTGTGAGTTCCCAGAAACAAAATCGTGAGAACGTGATCGGGGCCCAAAGCGGACAATATCGTGTTACGACGGATTCGAACCCGGAATGTGACAGTTTTTATCTCAAACATTTATCATTTCAACAAAGGCGAATGCTAAGAATTATGACCACATTTTGTAGACCGTAAAAGAACAATACTAAACACTATTTGGTTTTTAAACATTACCACAATATTAACTACAAATATGGGACCCGTCGTGAAATATTTATGAGTGATGTTAGTAAGATTAAATTTGTAAACTAAATTTGTAAACTAAATGATGTGTCACTAATAGGAAATAAGCACATTTATCAACATTTAAGTAATAATCCAATCATCAACTTCCATATTATTTAATTTAAAAATTTAGTCAACAAATTTAATCTCCGTAGCATCGCTCAATATTTATTAATCAAAGTATGAATATGGAGTTTCTGTTTTCCGCCCTTATTGCAATAAAATCTTCTAGAGTATTTTTTGTTGAAAAGAATTTTCCCGGCCGGTATTCCTTCTTTCTGTTTTTGGGTTCCATCCGAATTTTTGGCTGGCTGAAACCGAGCATCTAAAAACAAATTCAAACTGTTGAAGCTACTTTATGTTTAGCCTTCAAACTATCCTCTGTCCAAACCAAAACTTTCTTCTGGTTAGTTTCTGAGCATCCTATCGCTTGCCAATATAAAAAGTGGCTATGGACATCTCAAATATCATCATCTTCTTCGTTGACAAAGATGGCTCGTGGTCTCATTGCCATTTGTCTTATCACTTTGCTAGCCTGTTCATCTGTGGAAGGTCGAGGCCTCGGTAAACATCATCCCTAACCCTTTTCATTTTCTTCATCTTATTCTACATTTTCTCAGATTTTCCATTTATGGTCATTTTAAGTGGTTCGTCGTGCAATGATATGTTGTTGCAGAACTAGCACATTTAAATGGAGCTGAACATCAGTCCGTGGGGGATCATGTTCACGGAGTTGTAGCAAATGTGACAGTGGGTGGATTCAACTTTCAGTTAAATTTAAGCAACCCTAAACTTGTTGAAGAACTGAAAATTAAACGATCAGACTTTCCATCCGATTTTATGTTTGGAGCCGCCACTTCTGCTGCACAGGTTCATGTAAAATGAGTTATGCATATATAGCCTCAAAATTTCTTTGTTAAAATAGATTTTGTTATATTAATCGATGCATGTTGAGCACAGAGCGAAGGGTCAGCTAAAGAAGGAGGGAGAGGACCAAGTGGTTGGGATCATCGCATGGAAACACTCCCAGGTTTACATAACCTTAATAAGTTATCTTATCTTCATAATTTTTGCATTCGGAATAATGATCAGCTAACAAATTTCAATTACAGAAAAACTTCGAAACAGTACAAAATTCCCTATGGCAGTCGATGGATATAAAAGATATAAGGTGAGTAGCAAAAGGTTAAAATATCCTTAAAAATCCAGTTTGTTCTTAAAAAAAATTAAGCTAATATACTCTAGTCTGAATTTTAGGAGGATATTAAGCTTATCAAGGACGCTGGACTAAATTCTTACAGATTCTCGATCTCCTGGAGTAGGATTTTACCAAGTAAAAATCATTTCTTCTTTATTCTGTTCTTTTTAAAATTTGTTTAATCACTTATAAGAAACTGATGGGGTGTTGATGGATCCTACGCAGAGGGAAGCTTAAGTGGCGGAATTAACCAAGAGGGTATTGATCACTACAATAGCTTGATCGATGAGCTAATAAAAAATGGTGAGAAAGCTACCAGTTTTTATGTACTTGGATAGTTGAATTAAGTATGTGTTTGGCTTAATGTATTTTCTGCGTTCTAAAGCAGGCATCACACCTTTCGTGACGATTTATCACTTTGACATGCCACTAGCCCTGGAAGAGAAGTATGGAGGCTTACTGAATCGCTCATTCGTGTAAGCCTTTTTCGAAAACCATTTTGCACGCATACGTCATTTTGTAAACATGAATTGAAAAATATGAACTTCATAAGAGAAATAAAGAATATAAGATCAATCTCATAATGTATAATAATGATATGGTCGATTTTCCAGGAATGACTTTAAAGACTATAGCGAGCTTTTATTCAAAAAGTTTGGAGACAGAGTTAAACATTGGTTCACAATTAATGAGCCAAACATTCTTGCTCAATATGGATATGAACTTGGGATTTCCCCACCAGGGAGGTGTTCACTTCCATCAACCCTTTGTGCATTAGGGTCTCCTGTGAAATGTTTTGAGACCGTCGGTCCATGCAAGTTTGGTGGTAACTCGTCAACAGAACCTTACGTTGCAGCCCATAACATTATCCTTGCCCATGCCACTGTGGTTAAGCTTTACAAAGAAAAATATCAAGTGAGACTTGAAGACTCGAGGAAATTCATATAAATTCAACTGTTTCAACTTTTTAATCTTATCACTAAAGATTAGTTTGAATGTCATCTTCTAGGAACAACAAAAGGGTGAAGTTGGAATCGTCCTCGCTTCACAATATTTTTTGCCCTATACACAATCAGAGGAAGATAAAGCCGCAGCAGGACGACTTTTTGACTTCTACCTCGGATGGTAAGTAGAAGCATTCAATATCATGATCACATGATCATTGATGATCATGAGAACTTGCATGTTTTAATCATTTTATGATAAGCTTTTTCATTAGTAATGCTACTATTTGTGCATTAGGTTTATGGGACCATTAGTATTCGGAGATTATCCTCAAAGTATGAAGGAGAGGGTGAAGGATAGGCTTCCCACTTTTTCTGCAGAAGAGAAAGTTCTGCTCAATGGGAGTTTAGGGTTGGTTGGTATCAATTATTATACATCAACATATGCCAAACATAAGGCTCCTCCTCCAGGTGAGGCGTTGCGTTATTCCTTCGATCAATGGGCCGAAACAATAGGTAAGATATCTTGCTCTCTAGAGCCATAAGGACAAAAGAAAAATCAAACATCAAGCATAGTTTTAATATTCCGTCGTGTTGATCGTGTTTTGATTGTTTCAGCTATCCAAGATGAAGAAATTCTTGGTGTGGTAAGAAATTTTTTAAGATTCTATGTTCTTGCTAGTTTTGTAAGAAATGAAACATCGGTGTTGTCTTTGTTTGAGGAAAGTGTGTGGTTAAATTTTTCCTTATGGTGCAGACCAATAGTCATTGGCCGGAAGGGCTGCAGAGGCTGTTGGAGTACGTAAAGGATAAATATCAAAATCCAAAACTCTACATTTCTGAAAATGGTTCGATTTCTTATGCTTCAGTTAATCCTTGTATATATACTGTTAACCAAAATATGCATAACAAAAATAAAAAAGGATGAGATATCTTCTACACCTTTTCTTTGTAGGACTTTCTGATCACAAGGACAATGACTCTCCACTTGAAGTACTTCTAGAGGATCCATATCGAATTTCCTTTGTTACTCGTCACTTGTATCGAATCAATAAGGCAATTAAGTAAGTGATGATATATATTTTTATTTGACACTGAAACAAATATATTGCCTCATTCTTAACAAAAATTATTGCAGGAATGGAGTGAATGTCAAAGGGTACTTTTGTTGGGCTCTATTCGACGACATTGAATGGGGCATGGGGTTCAATCGAGTTGGTATTTACTTTGTTGATTTCAGTAACTACACACGCTATCCCAAGCTCTCCGTTAAGTGGTTCCGAGCTTTCCTTCAAGGCTGAGATCCTGCTATCGCTGCCTGAGTAATCGGTTGTTCAAACTTAATATTTAGTTATGTAAAGCCATTATCCCTTCGGTTTTCTTGTTGTAATCCATGTTTCCCTATAAAAATAAGGCTCTTCATTTGTGCTTCAAATAAACCATGTATGTTATGAATAATTTAATCAGTACTGCAAAGGGCACACAAACTTTCATTTTACGTCGAGAAATACAAAGGTTCCCTTGATTCTACTTCTTTTGCCCATGAATAATCTGCTGGTATGCCTAACTGCATATAAATGGAGAGTCGGTCATGTAAATTCTCGCTTGAGCACGCAGTCCAATCAAACAGCTAAGGTCTTCTGACCAAACAATCTCCAGTAACTAGATATTAAAACCCGAATAATGCAGGACTAAATTATCACAAACCCCCCAACCTGCTGATCAATGTCACTGCGATCTGGTACAACGATAATGAAAGCCTTGTGAAAGATAATGTGCAACACAACACTATCTGTGCTTCCCAATCTTACATCTCTTCTCTAATTACCAGCCTAAATTTTAGTAAGTGCACAGTTGTTGCTTAGCTGTGGGTTTTCGTTACTCTATTCTATTGGAAACACCATATCCTTGCGCGCAATGGCTGTAATCAGCATTATGTTTGTATCTATTCCACCTCCAGTACAAATTATTGGTTTGTTTTTCGTTTCAGACGTCAAGTCTAGGTTTGAATTTCCTTGAACAAGCATGTAACTTTATACCTCTATCTCATCAAGCTCAATCTAGGATAAGGTAAGTGATAGGTTGCAGGTGAAGTTGCAAAGATGATGAAGACTCAATGTTTGCTCCCTAAATTCGCCATGGGCCTCGCGGGCATGCCAGGAATTTACTCAAACATGAAATTGGCAGGTGCGAGCGTGCCACTATTAGATGCCGCTAGTAGACGGGTTTTGAATGATTGAGGTTGCGCCTGAGTTCAACTTCAAACCAAGAGATTGTGTCATTGAGTGAGAGTGGCTCAAATCAAGGTTCTTTGTTTGCCTTAAAGATAAGGACTTTACTTATATGGAGAAATGTAATAACAAGTAAATGACAAGGTTGCTAGAAGTGTGAATGACTGAGGAAAGTAAATGATTGGTGTTGTACATAAACTACAAATGAGATCGATACTACTAGTGAGCAGCAGAGCTAATAAACAAGGAAAGTAAAGGATGTTTGGCTAAAGCTAAATGTCTACAAGGAAGCTAAGGAGCTGATTTGAGTAAGTTGATTTGATTGGTTGTTTGAGTGTCCATAATCCTTCTGTCTTTGCTTCTTTATATAGAGATCTGAAAGAGTCCCCTTGCTGAGAACAATGAACTTACCCGAAAGAAGCTTGGCCAGCTTGCATTGTGAAATAATATTAAAAGGGGAACTTGCATTTCCACCACATGTTTTCACCACTTGTAATAAAACTATTAATTAAAAGAAGCAAATTAGCCTCTTTCACCATGTATCATCTGTCAGAATGTCTGTGTCTTCCCATCCACTTGCATTAGGAAAACATGCAATTGTTGTTTAAACAAATCTCTTGGCAAACCTCTATCACCCAAACAAATGGGAAAAGCAATATTATAATGTCAAATAACTCCACTTGCAGCCAAATATCTTTCCAAGTTAGCATTCTTGCACATTAATCCTCCAAATGTCATATTTTACCCAAATGGCCCAAATAAGTGAAATGATGCACATTTTAGGTGCAAACACTCAAGCCATCATAGATCACACAGGTTTGGATCATGCATTACATATTACACTGCATCTTTGTGGCTCCTGTCTAGTAAAGTTTTGCCTAGTCATGTCTGTGCGCGTGCACTATTAACATCTACACATGATATGTCATATGCACTAGATGTGTCATCATAATTATGAGCTGTCTGCCACATAGTACTATCACCTAGTGGTATTTCTTTTCATTTATAAGAGAGTTCTTAGGTTCGATTTTCATCAAAGACGAATTTGAGCAACATTATTGCTAGCCCATTGTCAGACTTAGTTTACCAGTATAGATAATATCGTTTGTTTAGAAGAAAAAAAATTATGATCATTAGTTATAATTGCAAAGAAACACCTACTATTTTAACATGTGATTATTAGTTATAATTATCGTTATCACAATCGATCAAGTCCAATTAGAGTTCCAATATGCTTCCACTTGAACATTACCTAATTGTGTTCACGAATATAATTTCGTAATTAGAGTTAATTCCTAAGTGATCACATGAGTCAATAAAACTCGATCAAAACCCCCTACCTGCCAAGATTAATTTATGAAACTAAACTTTTAAAAAAATAATATACTCACAATCGATGCAGGCACTCTGAAATTACAAAAATTAATCAAACATGAAGAGAATGGGCCGAAGGAAAACCCAGCCCACAATAACCAGAACTAAAGGCCATCAAAGTTGTAATAGGCCCAAAAAATACAACCCTGTTAACCACTTGCGAAGTCAATGGACAGTTTTCAACACAGAAATGCAGGAAGAGGGTGGGTACAGTGGTTTTGGGTACATAAGATTTGGACCCAATAGTTTGACCAACCTTACACGTGTTCAAATAGCATTGGGGACAATATTGTTGGTCCGCCGCCGATCCGAGTTCACTCACCTATTTCTACTTGGTGAGCTTCCCGGGAGCTGGTACCGCCCCACAAACGCTGCCCCTCCGAGAAGGTCAGAGACTTTTCCCTGTAAATTAAACGCCGATCGTCCCCAATTGGAGTTCTCCGGTAAGGTACGTCTCTCATGCATATCATGGCTGACATACATGCATACATCATATATTGACCCGTCTGAATTTGGGCGTTTTGGAATTAGGGCTTAGGAGAAAGGTCTGGATTTGATCAGATTTATTATCAGAAAATTGAATTAGTTTTTATTTTTGTGTTTTTAATTCTGACAAAAAAAAAAAATTGGGAACCCTAATATTTGAATGACCAAATCACAATACTTTCGATTCCGAAAATGCACACTGACAATTATAAATTGGAATTTAGTAGTTGGAATTTTGATAAGTTAATTGAGCTCTTGGTAATTAGTAATAATCTAATCTGGGAAGGATTATTGATAATTAATTAGTTTATCTTGTTTTATTCTTGTCATTTCAGAGTTGCCTGTTTGTTACTGCTGTCTGCTAATTGGTGTAGGTAAGTTTGAGGAGCAAGTTTGATCATTTAAAACGATTTTTCTAAAACCATTGACGATAAGAACATGTAAGTGCGTTAAATCGTGTAAAGGGGATTTACAACGATTGGTTATTCGTTGCTGACTGACAAGTTTGTTAGTAGGTTTGGCAGCTTGACTTCTAATCGTTATGTTCGGATTTTAGTATTTTATCGAGCGCAGTGGCGTTATAGGATTCATATAGCCGACCCCACTTAGTGGGATAAAGCTTTGCTTTCGTTGTTGCATCTTGTCGCGTTATGTCGTTGTTGAGTTGTCTTTAATCACCCTTAATCTTTCAATCGTATTGATGTTTTTTCTGACTTACCAGAGATTCTAAGCGGTAGATATCACATATGGCTTCATTCCGAGCATTCTTGAACAGTCCAGTTGGTCCGAAAACAACTCACTTTTGGGGACCTGTTGCAAACTGGGGATTCGTTGCCGCTGTATGTTTCTCTGCCTTGATTTCTAATATATAAGAATGTATTTGAATTCAAATGCAGTTTCATGCTTTTTAACTAATCTTCATCATAATGGGTTTGATTTAACAGGGATTGGCGGATATGAACAAACCTCCAGAAATGATTTCTGGCAATATGACAGCAGGTCCAATATAACTGTATTTGAAGGATGTAAATTAGTTATAGTATATACTATGTGGCAGGATAATAACCACGTTTTGAATCTGTTTCTGCAGCAATGTGCGTTTATTCAGCGTTGTTTATGAGATTCGCATGGATGGTACAGCCTCGGAACTATCTGCTTTTGGCATGCCATGTCTCAAATGAGACTGTCCAACTCTATCAGCTCTCTCGCTGGGCGAGGGGTCAGGGGTAAGCGATCTGTTTTCGGCAACAATTTCAGAAAACTAAAAGTAAATAGTAAATTTAGTTGAGTTGTCAGTTTTTATAACTGACCTTTGTCAAAGTGAGTGAGCCGAAAACATTTAATCGTGCAATTTGCCGGGAGATTTATTCTTATTTACTTGCTTTGTCATAGGTACTTAGCCCCGAAGAAAGATGAAGCTGCAACCGAGTAACTTGCTGCTTCTTTTCATTCCCTGCTCGTTCATTGTTTTAGTTGCGAATTTTACCGAAAACAGTGTTGATCTTGTGCGAGGCGCATGTGATAAAATTTGCTTTTGATGTTAACTGAGCTATCAATCTCAGCAGAACAAGTTCTCTTGTCATCCATTTTCATTCAATGTCATGCACTTCTTTTTGTTCATAAATGTTGGTTTTTCGTCAATTGTGTAGAAGAGGTAAATCTGGAACGAGTTTGGGCGAGAAGACGCTCGAGAGTAATTCGGAATGTATCCGCTTTCCGAAAGAGACCGAAAACTTGCACTCTCATTTCCCCAAGATGTGTTGAAGCAATAATCTTTGGATTACAAAAACTAATTTCACTTTCAGTTCAACACCAACGGATTAAATAGTACAGCTATCCGATTTCCGAGAGATGCAATTTACAATGCTGCTAAAGTTTTCCTATCAAAAATTTGTCAGGGAGCAATTGCCTTGCCCTATCGGCATGTTTGGCCCTGGGTCTCTGCCCAGTTACTTGAGCATATGCTCCATCCTTTGGGCCCCCGTCGGGATCACGATAATTCATCAACATCTTCCCGTTTTAACCTTTTGCTACTTTTTTTGGATTTCAGTTTCTTGCCTCCATCTTCTTCACAAGCTTCATTGTTTCCACTTTTTGCTTTAGCTTCCTTCTTGTTTCCTTTCTTTTCCTTGGATTTCTTCCTTTTCACGGGTGGTGTTTCGCCCTCATCTCTCTCGGTTACAATATGCCGCTCATTATCTTGACAAGATGGGTTACCAGTTTTTTCTTTAGCTTCCGTCTTGCTTCCTTTCTTTTCCTTGGATTTCTTCCTTTTCACGGGTGGTGTTTCGTCCTCATCCCTCTCAGCCGCAATATGCTCTCCATGCAGCAGCCGATTGGCTGGGGGATTGACAACTTCTGCTTCTGCAGAATAGAAAGGAAAACTTGCAGCTAAAGTTTTGGGGAATGATTACATGATAGCACAACTTGCAGAAATAGGAAACAGAAAAACTGACCTTCATCGGCAAAATTGGAATAAAAAAGAACGTTTGACAGAGGCTGCTTCATGTAAACCTGCAACATTTCAACGAGAACAATTGATCTAAAAGAATGGGAAAGTTGCAGCATACATCATTGTTACACCACTACACATGAAACCATGAAAATTAGGGAATTTTAGCCAACGTTTGTCACTTTTGACAATCCGGCAAAAGCTAAGGTGAAAGCACTAAAATACCCTAGACATCTAAATCCGGACCTAACCACATCTCCCCCACTTCATACGTGGTAAGCTTCAACCAATCACAAGTTCAGAAGTCTTTGAGAAGCCGTGCTTCCCTAGTACTCGTGATCCCAACCAAGATCTTATATAAGTCTGAACAACAAGAACTGTTATGTCCTTGAAAATTCAGTTCCATTGTTCATGAAGTTATAGGTAGTGTCCAGATCTGGGGAATTTAACTTGATAATAAAACGATTCGCTACTTATTGTATTTCTGTATAATTTGAGTTATGTTAGGCACTGGGGTTTGAGAAGTGACCAATCTAAGTGCCATGACCCAATTGTATACGAAAGTATTGGATCCGAACAAATCAATAAACTATGGTCAGAATTTTTCCATGCCTCCCTCTTCTCTGGCATAGGAGATGGCAAATGGGGAAAGGATTCTTAAGTTATAAGAGAGTTCAAAGAGCGATGAGGGGGAGCTGACACCGACTGATGAGAAACTATGTTTGAGTTATTAAGGATACTATGTTATTTCCACATACATTCTTCGCTATAATTATCAAAAGTACAAAAGATTAGCTAAAATTCCATATAGAGCCAAATTTGGGCTTTTTGCTCAATGTAACTCTAAACAATCAGGCCGGCTGGTCAATAGCCTGCTTATATAACTCAAACAATAAAGTGCAATAGCATACCGCAGAGAGTAGTTGCCGAGTCTTCACATTCCAAAGCCGTAGATAGCTATCCAATCCTAGAAGGAAAGAACTTATGGTCAGTGATACATAGAGAACAAATTTGGTTTCCAAACCCCTACTACCTTTACCAATAAAGCTTTAGAGGGGGAGAGAGAGGACTAGTATTGAACAAAAATTTTAAATATTGAAAACAAAAGGCATGCACTCACCACATGATGCTATCACTGGATAGTCTGGGTGCCTTGCTATGGACCTTATACTACCTGAACACTTCCCCAAAAAGCATCCTAACAATTTCCCTGTTGTAAAACACAGGATTAAAGAAAAGACAGATTACAAAGTAACATAAACAACATCGCGGCATACTATCTTTATCTGGTTCAAGAGGGGCAATACACAACCACTTTATCCCTATCGATAACATGAATAGTGTTCTCAAATCTTGCAAAGGGACCTCCATAGTGGACATGCCTGACACCAGCCGTTGATACACCAGTCGTTCCATAACTTAGGAAACAAGCATCATGCTCAACAGATGGCTTTTTCTTCCCTAAGTAAGCTCTACAAATGGCTTTTAAATTTTTAATCATGCCTACATACATACCTCAGCTACTTTTTCCCATTCTATAGAAAAAAGATTTTGGTAACATACAAATTTTCAAAGAATTGATGAACAATTATAAGCGGGCCGCATGTCAGAAGTTCTTCGGCAGAACCAATGCCAGCCTAAGCATAGTGAACTCAGCTTCAAGCATTATTATTAAATCTCAAAGCTCAGTCCATAGAAAATGTATCCCCTCTAAGTTTTTTCACATATACATAATTTTACCCGGCTTAACCTATTTCAACCGTAACTGAAGTTCCAAATTCCAGTTTAATCCCCATTGACCCCACCGCTTATCAAAATGTGCGAATAAAGCTCAACTCACCTGTGCGTATGTCAAAAGAAGCTAGGTCGCCAGATCCATTCCCTACATAGATTGTATAGCCATTTAGATCTTCCGCTACAGATTTAATAGCAGTCTCTCGGAATTCAAATGATATGACAGGTCTTCGCTGCGCAGAAATGTCATAGAGACGAACCTGTCAAATAAAACCAGTCAGAAGGTGTCAGCAGAATCCTTTTCGGTTGTGCTACTAAGAGTATTCAAGAAACTGAACTTCTAAAATGAACAAACATTATACAAATCCAAGAACTCAAAGTTGTATTCGGTTTTTATAAAACCTATACTATATTCTTAGTTTGCGCAGAAGTTTATCATCCGAAGTACATTAAAAAAAAAGGACTATTCCCCAGAAGTAGCTTATTTCCAACTGAAAACAACAAGACAAAATCAATCCTACTGTAAGCAAATATTACCTCATGGCTGTTGGTGCCAGCAACAAATTTCCGATGATCATCTCTACTTAAAAATGTGGCAGATGTGAACCAAGTTGGGGTAAAGATACCAAGGGTGTTTTTAGGAGGCTGCTCAGGGTAAAAAAAGAATTAGAATAAATGCAGATCATACTGTTTGCAAAAGAAAATACATGTGTGTGCGCACATGTGTGCGTGTTAATTTCCTCAAGTCATAATCGTGCATGATAGAAATGCTCACAGGTTTTGCTGTCCAAATCTTGGCACAGCTGTCAAGATCCCAGACATTCATCTCAACATGCTTCCTGAGTTTGAAAATAATAACGTCACCACTTGAAAGACAAATATCCTAGTGATGATACTCTTTGTTTAATGAAATGTTAAGTAGATTTTGAAGCTCCTATGGTAAGTCCTTTTCCTTAATATGAGAACTCACCCTCCAAGTAAAAAGTAGTTTTCACTTCCATCTACTTTCGAACATAAGATATTTCCACCGGCACCCACACTCCATGTTCTTGAATATCCAGTAGAAGTAACATCTGCTGCTGGTTTAGTCAATTCAAAGGATCTTATGCTTGCACTTCCTTTTGTTGTACATGTAAGCAAAGTGCAAGACCTAACAGCATATAACAATTTTAAAAAATATTAGTAACTGTACGCACAGAGGGAACAATGCCACTGTTTTTAAACTAAAAACTTATGCAAGAATTAACATTGGCACCTCTCAAAGGTGTAAGCTTAAGACAACTTGGTTTTCAGGGGACACTTATCTAAGTTGGTATACATGCTAGCAATTAAACTTTAGACTGTAAATAAATAACTGAAGCATGCAAGGCAAATACACTGCATGTATGCTTTCCACAAAATGTGCTCTAGAAAGCACATCCCATACAATCTTAGTAATTGTACTGCACCAAAAACTGGTTAAAAAAGAGTGTTAAACGAATGAGTGAACCTAAAATTGAACACCCAACCATACCAAATCTTATCCATCATAGGATGATTAAGTACCCTAACTTTATCAGAAATTGCAGCGATCAAAATCCGGTTTAGACAGTAAACCATGAAAGCACAGAAGGCATCTTACCTTGAAGCCAATTCCAAATTCTTTCTGGCAAGCAAATGTAATCCAGCAACAGGGTCATCTTCAGGTTGAACACCATTATTACTAGAATTGGTAACAGAGAAACGGAGATCTCCATTAAGAGGATTAAGAACTTCAATCTGTAAGACATGCAAGCACCTAATAGTTGTCATCGTGTAATTAATAAAACAAAAAGAAACGCGAATTGCTCCCACTTATTAATGTACTCACCGTCCCATTTCTCCTTGCAACAGCTAGCAACTGCAACATTGAAATAATGGAAAGTTTAATCGTTCAATCGTTTCACGCTTTTAACTCAAAAAGCAGAGCCAGACATACCCAGTTGAAACTACATTCCCAGGACACACATGAAATAATGGACAGTTTAATCGTTCAATCGTTTTGACAATTATCAGAAGCAAAGTGAGAGCCGCTGACAGCACAGCATCTCTTATAGTTTAATCTCCTCTCTCTCTCTTTCTCTCTCTCATAGTCATCAACTCTCCATTCATTCACTTCTCTCTCTCTCTCTCTCTCTCTCTCTCTCTCTCCCCTCTACTTCTCTTTCTTCATTTATCTGTCGCCCCACGCCCAACTACCCATCCACTCTTTCTGTCTTTTCTTTTCTCTCTGCCTGTCATTTCTTACAGGCGGCAGCAGTACTATTGCACTTGGGATGGGGATGATGATGATTCTACCCTCCTCCTCACCCTCCTTTTTTTTTTCTTTTTTTTTTTTTTCTGTTTTGTGAACAAACGAATAAAAATCAAATTTCAAGGGTGTATCCCCCCTCTCTCTCGTCCACCAAGAGGAAGAACATCCGCCTCCACCGCTTAATGTACCCAATGGACTTCACTGGGTACATGAATCAGCGGTGAACAATCGGAAGAAAGACAACATCTTTCAGCTCCGTCGAGGAACTGAGAAAAAACCCATTAAACTTATAACGCATTGCGATTAACCCTTTAGGATTATAACACAAAGAAACCATACCGGATCCGACTTTCGGTCATCCAAAGAGGCGGCAAGCCGCCTTTCGACGAATCAAGGTCGCCCCACCTCTCAACCAACTTCGGTTCTGCCCTTCCTTGCTTACCCCGAGCTTCAATAACTGTAAACAACCAACGGCATAACTGAATTTTAGACTTTTATCAAAAGAATTAGCAGTTGATTTTTGTTTGGCCGAGAAATGGACAGTATAAGACAAGACAGAGATACCTTTGATGAGACCGAGCTCGTCGAAGGTTAGAGCTCGAAGTGGAGGGCAACCTGGGCACTCGAGTGTGGTCGTACGAGGCATGTTTTGCTCAACTCTCACTCGCAGATATTGGGGAAGGAGAAAAACCCTTAAACCCTAGCTCCCTCAAAAACAGTTATGAGCTTCGAGAAGTTCATTAGGTCCCTTGTTATTAGGTAATTATACTTATTTCCCATGTTTTACCCCTTTTTGTAATTTACTCCTTCTTGGCTAGTTTACCATTTTACCCTTTCTTAGTTGTGTTGGAATGAATTTTCCGATTCCGTCGTTAATTTTCAATCTAAACTTGGAAATTTCTGAATAATTGGAATAAAATTGGAAAACAATTAGAGATTTGTTTATAGAGTAGTACTAAGGAGACTAAATTTTACAAACTAAAAGAGATGAAAATTGATGATATGATTATGACTTAAGCGTAGATAAACGTGCTCATTTCTATTTATGACACATCATTTAGTTTGCAAGCTTTGTGTACAAATTTAATCTCTCTAGCATTAACTAAATTTGTAGACTAAATGTGTAAACTAAATGACATGAAAGTCGATGATTGTATTATTACATAAGTGTTATATAACATGTTTATTTCTTATTGATGACACATCATTTTGTTTTGCAAATTTATCAACAGATTTAGTCTCCCTAGCATTACCCTTTGTTTATATTTAGGGTAATGCTAAATAGACTAAGTGCTCGTTTGGATAGAGAAAATGTTTTTGGATTCCAAAAATACTTGAAGTGTTTTCTGCAAGAAGCACCAGTTATGTGCTTTTTCTATGGACTTTAAGTGCTTTTCCAGGATTTAATTGCATTTTTACTAAGAATTAGGTCCAAAAACATTTTCACTACAAATGCTTTCGATCATTTTAAAAATACATCCAAACGAATTCTAAATTTGCTAAACTAAACGATATATGAAAGTTGATAATTAACTCATTAATTAAGCATTGACAAACATAATCATTCTTATTGATAATACATCATTTAATTTGTAAATTTTACAAAAAAAAAAATTTATGCACCCTAACATTTCTCTTATATTTATATGGCAACCCCAAAAGAGTCAACGTCGGGATTTAATTTCGCATAAAATCCACGTATGCTCCACATTTCCTTACCTGAATTATTTGCTTCCCCAAACTCAAACTTTTTACAACCACAAAACAAAAGCACCCAACTAGGAATCTGCTGTCCCCAATTTGATGTCTCATTTGTCTCTTTCTTAATTATTGACACATATCTATTAACTTAACACCAAACTTAACACTGTTAACTTTTCATAAATTAATTAAAAAACTAAAAAATAAAAACCATTACTGGATAACCACCGACTGCAACTACACAACCCATCGCCGCCAACCACTGCAACCACGCCATTGCCGTCATCGCTGCTCCTCACAATTGGCTAAGATTTCTTTCCTTTCCTCTCTCTTCAAATTCCCGGTGATCGATTCATCTCGTCAATACCTGTGAAGTGGGTATAGGAAAGAACCAAAGAATACCAATGGAGAGAGAGAAAGAGAATACTCACCTGATCTTGCCTCGCGGTTGGATCAGAGAAGGAAGGAGGGATGTAGCTTGCAACTTTTGACTTGCGGGAGAGGTTCGAATTTTGAAATTGAAGGGAAGTTTGAGACCCTGCAATTTGATGGATGCAGGATGATGAGGGTTAAGGGTTTCTTTGAAGGATTGCAGGGAGATTTGCAAAAACGATTGGGGGAGGCTGTTGGTAGGCGTATATGTCGTTTCGTTTTCTTTTCTTTTTTTTTTTATTTTTCAATTTTAATTAAATTTTAGGCCAAATTGGATTATTCATCCTGTGGTCGTAGGAAACTTGCATGATGACTCTCGTGGTGAAAAAACTAGTAATTAAACCCCTGTGGTCAAGAATGTTAGCAAATTTAGTCCAAAAGTAAGATTTATGTTAAATGATTGTTAAAAGTATGGGTAAAACTGTATTTTCAGTTTCAATTGACATTTAAAATAAATAATTTTTTTATAACAATTAACAAAAAAAAATAATGCTTAATTTTTTAAATAAAAAAAGCCCCAATTCAATGTCAATTGGAACTGAAAATATAGTTTTACTCCAACTTTTAACAGTCCTTTAACAGAAATCTTATTTTTGGACTAAATTTGCTAACATTCTAGACCACAGGGGTTTAATTCCTAATTTTTTCACCACGAAGGTCATCATACAAGTGTCTTATTACCACGGGATGAACAATCCAATTTAGCCTAAATTTTATGCAAAAGTAACGGTGTGAAGTTTAAACTTAAGCAAATGACATGTGTCACGAAACTAAAAATGAGACACGAATGAGACACATAATTGGGGAAAGCAAACCCATACCCAACTAGGAAAAAGCCAAATCAAATACGTCAGACCCTTTCGTCTCCTGTCCCTTCGTTTTCGTCTTCCAACTTATAAGCACTTACAACTTTCACGAAGCACGTCCAACTGAAGCTTCAACCATGGCGGACGAATCCACACCAAATCCCAAGAGCGGCTACTGCCTACAAACCAAGACCTTCCATACTCTCCGGCCTCAGGTCCCACTCCCGCCACTCTCCCAACCCCTCTCCCTCACCCAGTTCACCCTCTCCCTCCTCCAATCCTCTACGGCCTCGCCCACCACCTCCGTCCTCATCGACGCCGCCTCCGACCGCCATGTTTCCTACCAAACTTTCCTCGGCCAAATCCACTCCCTCACTCTCTCCCTCCAATCCCTTGCCCCCTCTCTCTCCAAAGGTCACGTGGCATTCATTCTCTCCCCTCCTTCCCTCCACGTCCCCGTCCTCTATTTCTCTCTCCTCGCCTTAGGCGTCGTCGTTTCGCCAACTAATCCTGTCGGGTCCGAGTCCGAGATCGCCCACCAGGTCCGGCTAACCCGACCAGTCATCGCCTTCGCCACGTCAGCAACCGCTCAGAAGCTCCCCAAGGGTAACGACAAAATCCGCAACGTTATACTCCTCGACTCGCCCGAATTCCTCTCCATGCTCAACCGGGTCGGTTCATCCGAAACACGACCAGACCTCAGGTTTACAGTCAACCAGACCGACCCGGCTACGATTCTCTTCTCCTCCGGCACCACCGGCCGAGTCAAAGGCGTTCTCTTATCTCACCGCAACTTCATCGCCGTCATAGCTGGGCTCCACGCCCTTCGCTCACCCGACCCGGACCTACCTAACAGCAAAGCGGTGTCGCTGTTCACGCTGCCTCTGTTCCACGTGTTCGGGTTCTTCATGGTGGTTCGGGCGGTGGCAATGGGTGAGACCTTGGTTTTGATGGAGAGGTTCGACTTCGAATCAATGCTGAGCGCCGTGGACCGGCACAAAATCTCGTACATGCCGGTATCGCCGCCGCTGGTCGTTGCAATGGCGAAGTCGGAGCTGGTTAAGAAATACGATCTCAGCTCGCTTCGGCTTCTCCGCTGTGGCGGTGCGCCGCTGGGAAAGGACGTTGTTGACAGATTCCGTGAGAGATTTCCCACTGTTGAAATTGTACAGGTCAGAGAACTAACGTTGTCCCATTAACTTCCTAATTTCAATTCTTGACCGTTGATTGATAGTAAAGTAAACGGCGCAAAACCTTGGCCGTTGGTATTTGTTTATCTTTTAACTTCCCGCGTTTTTTGAAAAATTATTTAACTTGTGCTCTAATTTTCTTTCCTAGCAAGAAAACTTGTACGTGAAATAAAAGTTACACGTTTAACTAGAGTAGCAGTTAGTAGGCACACGTTTAATACACGCATTGCTGTCGTCTGTCACTTGTCTGAATATTGTGGCTGTTTAGGGATATGGTTTGACGGAGACCGGAGCAGGGGCGACGAGGATGATAGACTCCGAAGAGACTAAGTCGCATGCTTCTGTGGGCCGCCTATCGGAAAATATGGAAGCCAAGATTGTCGACCCTGAAACAGGAGAGGCATTGCCTCCCGGCAAGAGGGGTGAGCTATGGCTGCGAGGTCCATCGGTCATGAAAGGTAATGAACACTTGCCATGTCTCAGATATCCCACGTTGCAAACGTAAAACGTGGTAAGATGATTGTAAGTTTTTCGGCACCCTGTTCTTACAGTTTGATTTTGCAGTGATGACAATGTAGTTCCATATCCAAATGACCTTTTCGAAACCTTTATAACATTTGCAGGTTATGTAGGAGATGAGAAGGCAACTGCTGAGACCTTGGACAAAGACGGGTGGTTGAAGACCGGTGATCTTTGCTATTTCGATGACGAGGGGTTCCTCTACATTGTTGACAGGTTGAAGGAATTGATAAAGTACAAGGCATATCAGGTGACGACTGAAACTGAGACCCTTTGAAAGTTCACTCATAACAAAGATCACTGTAAATATCATTTGATCAGTCCCTTTACGTAATGTGTTATTTTCGGTGTCTCGTTTCTGGAACGAATTGCAGGTACCTCCAGCTGAGCTGGAACATATACTTCTAACCCATCCTGACATTGCCGATGCTGCTGTGATTCCGTATGTATCTAGTACTATGTCATCCTTAGAAGTTTAGCTTTATTTGTAAACAAGAAATTGATGCATTTAAAGGAGAAAAAAGGTATGGAGAAAATTTTCCGTTTAAACGGATATTTTGCTGATAAGATGGCCTTTACGAAATCTTGTTTTATGCCGTCCCACCCTCATCCCAGAAGGCTAAAAGAAAACGAGTGGCAAGTGTTCGCGCAGATAGTCGATAAGATCACAGTTTCTGGAATAATCTACTGGTTTTTCTTTTTGTGTATTTTTTTCCTCAAGGTTTACAAGTTCTTTGTTCTTCCCATTCGTGTTCGTAAAACAGGTATCCGGATGAAGATGCAGGGGAGATTCCCATGGCCTATGTGGTTAGAAAGCCCGGAAGCAACATCACCGAGGTTCTAGTTATGGATTTCGTTGCAAAACAAGTAAGCTCCTGAATAGAAAATCTGTAACTGAATGTGCATACAAGTTTTCTTCACAGCTTTCGAATTAAAATTGCTCATATACGTAGCTTTACATGCATATTTTACGGAAAAAATAGAACAATTCTCATCACGAATATTAGGGTTTAACTGCAGATTTGAGGAGCAACTTTGTATGTTATAGGCTTTCACATTGGTGTTGGTGTGCTCTTATTGCAGGTTTCACCGTACAAGAAGATACGGCGGGTAGCGTTTATCAACTCCATTCCAAAATCTCCAGCAGGGAAGATCTTGAGGAGGGAGCTAGTCAATCATGCTTTATCTAGTAGTTCATCTAAATTATGATTCGTTCGTCCAAAGCAAAGGAAGAACAAAGCCTTCTCAGCATCACATTCCGTCCGGCGTTCATCATATCAGCTCATTCATGCTCATTAGCATGTATGCAATCTCTGAATTTTCCGGTGGTGAGGATCGGATCATAGTTGGGTGCCCACTTTGTTTTTTGGGTTTACTTGTATATGTACACCATTTTTCTGTGATATTTTGAAACCCTAAACCCTTGAAGACCCCTTTTTGTTTCTTCGTACCGTTGTGTATTGTACCATATAAGTTGCTTCCCATCTCATGGCCTTTATACAACAGTTTTATTGTATGGGCCCTATCTCTATTATTTATCGCTCTTAGAGAAGCAATTTGGATACTTCCAACCGTTTGTGCACACTCGCAATACTTGGGTTAGCAGACCGCGCACTTGTAAGTGTGACGTTTCAAACGTTGATTCAACTAGCCCTAGCAAAACCCATGACATGTTCGTACACCACTTAACAATTGCAAACGCAACATGATCAATATTGGGCCCATAAATACCAATTTACTTGTTCCCTAATCTCAACTACTTTAGACACTTAGTATTATGGTATAGTCGTATTTTTTTCACTAAAGCGAATTTAAATCACATTAATGCTAACTCATTGTGAATCTATGCCCACTCTTTTCTCCTATAAATGATATCGTTTGTTTAAATAAATAAAAAATTCTCAACAACTTTAGAAATTGTTTCCCATCGTTAAGAAAAAGCAATGGCAAGGTTCGATTGTAAAAATGATAATATGACCAGCACTGCAACCACTTGAACCCAATCCTGAATCCGCCGGAAGCGTTCGCTCTTCATTGTTGGCTAACACTGGAGGAAAGTGATAGAGGCCAAAAGTACCTCTCCTATATTTTGCACATTAATATCTAGTGGCGGAACCACGTAGAGGCCAGCATAAACCCGGACCTATCCTGGAATTTCACCCTTTTATATGTACTATGTGCAAATTTTCACAACATTGAGCATGTGGCTCATTAGTTATGCTTGTTGCAACTCCGGCAATACGTCGCAATCGAGAATCAATAACAGCTCCGGAAACTTGGGAATAACCAACAGTTCCGGGAACCTCGGGAGGTTTCTTCTCAGAAAGTGATCTTGAAGCAGTTGATTATGTTCTAATGCCTACAAATACACAATTGGCCTCGTACATGTCCCTCTATCACAGACGACCACCCTTTTGGTGTGCACTTGCAACTTCATCATGCTCTGTAACTTGATTAAATGATTTCATTATTTACCATACAAGAAACCAAATAAAGGCCCGTCTAACAACTATTTTGTTTTTCCGAACTTTTTTGTTGAATATCAGAGTGCGCAACGAACAAGATTAATAAAATAATAAGAATATTATTAAACTAACTGAGAATGCCGAAACGGCTACAAAACCCTAAGAGGCTACATTGTGAATGACTTGATATTCTACGAGCTACAAAGCACCATATATATAGAGAACTAACATAACCCTAATAAGCAAGAAAACGAAATCCTAATACTAATGGGCTAAGCCCAAATTCAAACAATAAAATAAATAGCTATTTTCCAACACCCCCCCCGGTCAAACTCATGGCGGTATACGACATGGGTTTGCAAACAAGCAAATGCGGACTGGCTCCGTTAGACAAACTGGTAGGCATGCAAACTTGACTTGACTTGACTTGACTTGACTGGCGAACTTGACTTGACTTGACTGGCAAACTGGTTCTTGATTCTTGATTCTTGACTTGATTCTGGCTGGCAAACTGGTTCTGGTTCAAATTGGCTAGTGTTGAGAGTATGGAAAGAACCCGTGTTACGACCACCCCCCAAAATAATTAGAAAACTTGTTTTTTCCACCCCCCCTTGTGCCACGTGTCAATCATCAAACCCTCCTTCTTTTCTTTTCCCTGTCCCCCACCCCCGTGACTCCTTCTTCTTCTTCTTCTTCTCTCCCCCTCAGCTCTCCCGAAGCTCTCTCACTCTCCCGTGCATCTCTCTCACTCTCAACCTCTCTCATATCTCTTCCCCCTGACTCGCGAGGACCCTAGCATTCCCAGGAAAGGCCTGTAGCGAACCAGGGATCCCTGCACCGCGAGACCGACGGCACGGAGCAAAGCTCCGGCGAGTTTTCTCCATTTTTCCCTTCAGGTAGGTCTCAAATCTCTCACTCTCGTACCTAGTTCTTGGTTTGGTTGTGATTTAGAAGCTTGAACCTTACCTTTTTACGTAGGTTTTTGCTTCGGAACGGTCGTGGGTGAGCACACCCACTTTTTCGGTGATCCTGTGCACCCCGAGAGCTTTCCCGGTCACCTCCGACCGAGTTGTGACGTTTGGAAGGTATAAACCTTCTCCTCTCTTCTTGTACTTCACGTTCGTACCTAGATCGGAGCTTGAAGCTCCAGTTTTCAGGTGACCGGAGCTGTAGCAGCTCCGGCCTTCTCTCTCGGCAAGCCACAGGCCAACCGGCCTCTCCCATCTCCTTCGCGGGCCTCCGGCCCGTTTTGTTTAAACCCAGTACCCTAACCCATTCCCTTTTTATTTTTAGTTCTAGTTTTTAAAGCCCAAAAGGCCACGGGCCTTAATGTTGAAGGGCCTTGGGCCGGTTAGGTCCTAAAGGCTTAAAGCCCTGTTTCTGTTAGTAAGGCCTAAGGGCCTTGGGCCCGTGCAGGTTGTGTGTGTGTGTGTGTGTTTTATTAGGTATGTTTGGGCTAAAGCCCAAACCCTAATTAATTTCCATCCTAAATCTTTTTAAATCCTAAAGCCCTAGGTTCCCAAAACCCATTTAAAACCCTAAACCCATCCAATCCCAAATCCCTTATTTAATTTAATTCAAAACCAATCTTTTAGAAAATCATTTTAATTATTTATTACATTCTTGTTCTTAGGTAAAATTGCTAGTGGAGAAATTCTATATCCTTATTCGCACGACTCGCCTGCTAAGGAATATTTGTGAGTGGACGCCTTCTAAAATTACATGATTTGATGCATAAATGATTAGCATGCCTACAGATTTATGATTTGATTTATGTGAAGCCTGATAATTTAATATATTGATTATCGTCTCGTGTTTTAGTGAGGAGTTAATTGTTAGCCTATATTGAGCTATATTTTAATATATATATCTATTTTCTATAAAAACCATGATCTAGTAGACTATCTGATAGGTGACGATAGGATACTAGAACATGATTTTGAACCCTCTTTATAGCGTAGACGATATTCGGTAACCTATGCTATGAAGTGGTATTTATGAGAGACGTAAATATTTGTGCGTACCTAGTGGACACTATGCCGCATGGGGCGAGGATCTGGTGTTAGCATGTAGGCCGGGAGAAATAATCCCTAGCGAAAGGCTGAGGGACATGGAGACAGGCATTGGGCCGGGAGGGAGTTATCTCTGGCTACGGGCACAGAGACTGAGGTGCAGGCATTGGGCCGGGAGTTATATTTATTCAGTGATCTTTCTAGCAGCACACCGCGCTTACGAGACGATTTACGAGACGTTTACTGTTTTGATTTTCCGCGATGTTATTCCGCGATATGGCTTTTGAGATATTTTTGGCATGCTAGGATTTTTATTAAATCCATCATTTATTTATGCTAGTAGTTTTCATTATATAAACTGTGGGGGTTAGTACCTTGATAACTGTTTCATTATTATTATATATATAAACTTGGTCCACTCACCTTTGTTTTTACGCCCCCATTCAGGTCATAGTAACGAGGATTACGACTGGACGTACGAGGCATTTCCCTAACAGTAGCACTCTATCACCCACTTGTGTGACATCTTGTAATAGTCTTTCCTTTTTGTAAAACTGGTTTTAGTCTGTGTCTGGTTCACTCTAGACATTTTCTTGAATGTTGTTAATTACTTCTAAACTCTGATGTTATTCATGAATATTTTCTTCTAATCATTGCTCTTGTAATCAATTAATGGCTTTCGTCACCTTGGGTGTCGGCCAGCACGTGTCTATCCTGATATTCGAAAGAATATCAGGGTCGGGGCGTGTCAACCCGTCACTAAACGAACGAGATTTTCATATCTCAATGGTAGCAACAAACAAACAAACACAAATACTATCACTCGAGTGGTCACAATTCCAAGTACTCGAATGACGATCACAAAACAATCCCAAACAGGCCAACAACTCGTGTGGACCTAAAAACAAACTTAACCATTTTTTTTTCTTGTTGCCCGTGGACCTTAAACTAACAACAAACAATTGTTTTTCTTTTTCCTTCTCTTTTTGCCTTTTTTTGCTATCCTTTCCTTCCTTCCCATTTTTCTTTCTTTTTTCTTTCATGCGAACAAACAGCAAAACCTTTCTGTTTTCCTTTTTTTTTCTTCTGTGCAAACAAATAGCAACAACAAGATCCTTTCTATTTTCCTTTTTTTTTTCTTGCAAACAATCAATACCAACTAACAAATCTAAAACGAAAACACAAACAGCGGAAGATGACGGAAACAAAACTGATACAAACAAATTGATACCAACGAGAACGGATTTAACCCTAAGGATCGAACCCGCTATGATATTAAGTTGAATATCAGAGTGCGCAACGAACGAAATTAACAAAATAATAAGAATATTATTAAACTAACTGAGAATGCCGAAACGGCTACAAAACCCTAAGAGGCTACATTGTGAATGACTTGATATTCTATGAGCTACAAAGCACCATATATATAGAGAACTAACATAACTATAATAAGCAAGAAAACGAAACCCTAATACTAATGGGCTAAGCCCAAATTCAAACAATAAAATAAATAACTATTTTCCAACAGTTTCAAACACTCTTCATTCCTCCTACTGTTTACCCTTCTTCATCCCTCGTTTCATTGACGTATAGGGGAATGTACTTCCCCTCTACGCTGCACAGAAAAAACAAAAAAACTAAATCCAAAACAGTTATCAAACTCGCCCATTGTGTTCTGATTTTGGAGTGTAACAAAGTTTGCTATTGTTTTCAGTAACCTACACGCAGCCCTAGCGGAATTACCCTCTATGGACGGACGAGTGGTCGGGGGCTCGTTAGCACTATCTGCTTCTTTGAGGTGACACTAGCTCTTTTCGTGATTGGGAAGACGATAACGTTCACGACTCGATGATTTATGTTCGGGGTTCTGATGATTTCTGCTGTTCTTTTGAGGCAGTTGCAGCTCACCTGTTAGACTTCTGCTGCATTCTGTTTCGTCAAGCACAACATTTACAACACCCAGTGAAATATACGGAAAAAGTCATTCATGTTCGGCTAGAAATATCGAAACTGCCAGATGTAAGGAAGACGGTTGCAAAGGGAAATCGAAGAAAAAAGAAATCTACTGCTGCTTTCGTATTAAGTAATCTGCATTACAAATTAATACTTATACACTGCCGCGATTCGCAAGATGGATTACAGAATTTTGACATGATTACCTTTCAAAAATCTTACTGTAATGCTGAGAAGAGAATATATCCATCACGGTGACTCTTTGCATGGGCAAAATGTTGTGTTTGGCTCATATAATTATGAGTTGGCAACCATTTCCTCTCAACTTTGTGGACTTTGGAAGCATGTTTTGTGGAAGCATGTTTTGTGGAAGCATGTTTTGTGGAAGCATGTTTTGAGGAAGCATGTTTTGTGGAAGCATGTTTTGTGGAAGCATGTTTTGTGGTTGACATAATTGATGGTGCATGTCTATAAGTGAAGGCATTTTTCACACACAAAATGAAGAGAGCTTGCCGATTGTGAGGATTGGGAGAGCATCCAGAGGAAAACACAAGTGAGAGAAAATATAGAGTGAGAGTGAGAAACTCTTAGGGAGAGTAAGACTCTTGGGAAAATTCTGTGAGGGTACAAGGGATTGGGGTTTGGGTTATGTCGATTTAACTCAAGTGTATCTTGTACTAGTTATTCTCATAGTGAAGAGTAATATCTCCGGGGACGTAGGCAGGTTTTTGCCGAACCTCGTAAATTTCTCGGTGTCTTTATTTCTTGTATTTTATTCTGTTCAACTGAGTGTGATTTTTTGGTGAGGTTGTAATTTGAATCTCGATTCTGCACTAACGAACGGACCAAAGCACAACAATTGGTATCAGAGCTTTGTTGGAAGCTTTGGTTCATTGACGGTTCAGATTTTTTATTCACCATGATGACTACAAACATGTCATTTTCAGTTGAGAAGTTTAATGGGAAAGGAAGTTTTACTCTTTGGCAGATGAGAGTAAAGGATGTCTTGACTCAACAAGGCTTGGCTAGAGCTTTGAAGGGAAAAGATGGGAAGCCTCAAGAAATGACAGATGACCAGTGGGAGGAGCTGGAGGCGCGTTGTGTTAGCACGATTCGACACTGTATAGCTGATAACATTATCAATAATGTTATGGATGAAGATTCTGCGCCTGCACTTTGGGAGAAGTTGGAAAAACTCTATATTGCTAAGAGTTTGACCAACAAGTTGCATTTGAAGCGGAAACTGTACAAGCTGAAGATGGATGAAGGTGGGAATCTCATGGACCACATGAATGAGTTCAACGGATACTTGGATCAATTGCGGAAAGTTGATGTTAAGGTTGAGGAAGAAGACAAAGCCCTCTTACTTCTTACCTCACTTCCAAATTCGTATGAAAAATCTTGTGACAACCTTACTGCATGGAAAAGATACAGTAAGTTTGGAGCAGGTGCAAGCTTCTTTGGTGTCTTATGATACACAAAAGAAGAAGACCATTGTTGATGGTGGGCACGAGACTGCTTTAGCTGTTCAAGGTTGGAATCGTGGAAGAAAATTGGGAGAAGGATCTGAGAGAGACAACAGGTTCAAATCCGGTTCCGGAGGCAAAGGTCTACAATGCTACAACTGCAAAGAATTCGGGCATAAAAAGAAAAATTGTCCTTTGAGAAAAAGAAAGGATGATCTTGGTACGGGTTGTAGCAATTTTGTGGCGGAAGACTTCGAGTATGCCCTCTAGGTACTCGAAGCAACACTTCTCCTGGTGATGTTTAGTCTCAAGTGTCGCAGGGGTTTTGCAACAGGTGGAGCTATGGGATTCACAGGTGATGAGATGATCATGAGGTAGGAGGAAGTGTGGGAATTTTGTCTGGCTCGATGGGTTGTTACTGGAAACGGGCGCGTTGACGAGTTTCCAGGTTGCAGACAATGAAGAGGAGGAAAACCTGCTGGAGGAGACGAGGATGTGTCGAGATCCTGTCTGAAGCTAAATGGTGATTTTTAGCTTGCAGCAGCTGCACATGCATTGGCAGTGACTGAATCAGGAATAGGACCAACGAGGTTGATTCAGGGTGTGTATGCTGGTACGTAAGGCCAATGGACATTGGTGATGGGTGCAAGGATTTTTGCACAGTATATTCGCCAAGGTGGAGATTGTTGTGTTTGGCTCATATAATTATGAGTTGGCAACCATTTCCTCTCAACTTTGTGGACTTTGGAAGCATGTTTTGTGGAAGCATGTTTTGAGGAAGCATGTTTTGTGGAAGCATGTTTTGAGGAAGCATGTTTTGTGGAAGCATGTTTTGTGGAAGCATGTTTTGTGGTTGACATAATTGATGGTGCATGTCTATAAGTGAAGGCATTTTTCACACACAAAATGAAGAGAGCTTGCCGATTGTGAGGATTGGGAGAGCATCCAGAGGAAAACACAAGTGAGAGAAAATATAGAGTGAGAGTGAGAAACTCTTAGGGAGAGTAAGACTCTTGGGAAAATTCTGTGAGGGTACAAGGGATTGGGGTTTGGGTTATGTCGATTTAACTCAAGTGTATCTTGTACTAGTTATTCTCATAGTGAAGAGTAATATCTCCGGGGACGTAGGCAGGTTTTTGCCGAACCTCGTAAATTTCTCGGTGTCTTTATTTCTTGTATTTTATTCTGTTCAACTGAGTGTGATTTTTTGGTGAGGTTGTAATCTGAATCTCGATTCTGCACTAACGAACGGACCAAAGCACAACACAAAAGTTACATATGCATCCTGCATAAAAGGAGTTCGGAGAAAAAGATGGCGTGAAAGTACCAAACCGGATCTTCGTTATTCTAAAGACTAACAAACAAAAAGAAAAACACGAATATCATAAGCAACATTACGCAACTTTCCCTCTGATGCTCGGTATAAAGCTTTGATTTCATATTATCCTGTCTTTACAAAAAAATGGTTCCCACCGTGGCTGATAAAGCTGCTGCTAGTGAAAGCACAGGATATGAGGAGGGTCTGGCATGTAAATTTCAGACAACTAATTTACACAACATTGAGCTCATAGGGCATATATACATGACATGAATTCACATCATTCGACATTGTGACGATGCCAATTCAATCAGCATACCTTTTAACTAGACACGATTTCAGAAAATTAAGGCACATGGGAAGCACGGTAAACATCTTTACTTCATACATCTTTATTTTCTTCATTTTTTTTAAATCATTCAACATCTTCCATTACACTTTTGAGTCCCCAGCATTCTCTATACTTCAGAAAAATCAGAGCTAAATTTTTTAAAATTTCAACTATTTCCACTGGGGACACGATGTCATATCCAACCAGCATACAGGGAACATTTCTCGATCCAAATAGTTGCAAGTTGAGTAGATATGCTAGCAATTGATATTTTATAAATACTCATTACCAAACTCTACAGCATCACAATTTTCTACTGATTCGGCATAGGATTGATGTAAACTACAAACCGTAGATATCCTATGCACACTACAAATGGCGAAAAAATATAACAGCTGCACCTAGATTCACAAATCGATAAGGA